GCCTGGCCCACGTCTCAAGGTCACTAAGCACTGGGAATCTAAGGTCCTGGCTCCACCCTGGGTTCCGGAACTGATGGCCTTTAATATGGCCTCACTGTCTCATGGTCTTTCAGCCTTTACCTTGCCCGAGATCTCTTTCCCTGCCGTCTCTCTCCACCTCCCTGAGGAAGGAGAGCCAGACAGGCCCGGGCTTCCTTAAGGATGCTGGCTGCTATTGGCCACAAGGATTGTCTCTGCACTAGTATTCCTGAAATACGTGCCCAGGGGTGTGAAGAAGCCCCTTCCCCCAGGCCCAGGGCCCCAGAGCAGGAGCCAGATTCGGTCCTCACGGCTGGTTCCCATGTGTCCATCATAGCGGAGGAGGTAAGGAAGCTGAAAGCCCGAGTGGAGGAGCTGGAGAAGACCAGGGTGCAATATTTTGAAGACAAGACAGAGAGAAGTAGCAAGGACCGTCTCCTGGGTGATGTGCCTGGCATGGGACCTGGATTAGGCAAAGTGGGGCTGGATGGCCACAGCCAGGAGGCGATCTGGCTGTTTATAAGGAACAAGCTGATGACAGAACAGGAAAACGGTGAGAGAAGGCCGGAAACAAGGCCAACTAGCCCAGAACTTGGGGTCTGGGTGGCTTTATGCTTGTCCTGGGGACACTATTTAAACCCTCTCCCCTTCCCGTCCTACCCTCCATCACCCTAAGAAGCAAGAGGAAGCCAGGCTGGGATCCCCATTTGTGTGTGTGTGTGTGTGTGTGTGTGTGTGTGTGTGTGTGTGTGTGTGTTGATGCATTATTTATGATTTATTAAAGCTTGCCTGAGGATTCAGAGAAGCAAAGCAGCCAAGCCGGTAGATCTTACCTCTACCCAGCTGAAATGGCAATCGGGTCGTCACTTCCTGTCTCCTCCTCTTCCTTTTATTCCTTTCTCTGCCCAGACATATCACTCCTGTCTTTACCTCCCTAGTGCTGGGATTAAAGGCATGTGATCCCAGGTGCTGAGATCATCTGTGTGTGAGCTGTTTCTTTTAGGACTGGATTGTGTAGTCCTTGTGGCCTTGAACTAACAGAGATCAGCCTACCTATTAATCCTCAGTCCTGGGATTAACAGTGTGGCCGAGATAACCTAGCTTCTATAGCTAACTTAGTGTGGCTGCTTTGATATTTTGATTTCCAGTGGCTTTAATAAATCATAAACAACATATCACTGTGTGTGTGTGTGTGTGTGTGTGTGTGAGAGAGAGAGAGAGAGAGAGAGAGAGAGAGAGAGAGAGAGAGAGACTGACTCAAGGTTTTCTCTTTCTTGTAGGAAATCTTCGAGGAAATCCTGGTCCAAAAGGTATTGGAGTGGCCCAAGCCTCCCCCGCTCCCATTTCTATAGGAAAGCCGTATTTCCCTGAGACTGGAACCCTTTTATCTTTGTCATAAAGAAAGAGTTTTCATACCACCTCCAAGCCTCCCCCGCTCCCATTTCTATAGGAAAGCCGTATTTCCCTGAGACTGGAATCCTTTTCTCTTTGTCATAAAGAAAGAGTGTAGATACCACCCGACTATCTGTCTGTCAGAAAGCTGGAAGTTGACTTTCCAGTCAGACATCACAGCAGGGTTGGGAGCCCAGGGGAAGCCTAGTGGTCTGTACTGGGGTGCCTCTGATGGGGCTCACTGTGATATGTGGTTCACACATTGCCAAATGGCTGTGACACACAGGCAGGAAAGCAACTCTTGGTTAATGTACCATCTTGCAGTGTCTGTTTTTCTGGTTTTAGGTGACATGGGAAGTCAAGGACCTAAAGGTAACTATTCCAAAGATAATCTACCTTAAACACTGGGGGTGTGGGGGAGTGGTTAACGCAAGAGAAAACCCCTCAGGCTGAGAAAGGCAACTTAACAATCTGCGGTCCACACAAGCCTGAAGCAGAGGATTCCAGTCCCTTTGCCCCTCCACAGACACAAAGCAGCTTTTCCCCAACCATGTCACTGAGGGTCTTGTCAACTCTATAGTGGGAAGGGACTACCTGAAGATTCTGGGCCCCTCCCTGAGCCTCTGATTGACTGTGGATGGGCCGAGGGACCTAAGTCCACCTCCCAAAACCTACAACCCCACACCCCTCCTGACCCTGCTTAAGACGGATGCCAAATACAGGACTGCCAAGTACAGTTGAACTCAGAAAAGCATCGGATTTTCACTGTAATTATGTCCCAAATGACTTACTGGGCCTAATGATACGAAAGTGTATTTTTGGTTTTAGCAGCAGTTTGAATGTAACTGGATGCATTTGCTCCCTGGAAGGCCCATCTGAATCTTGCTAGCAGCTCCTCAGGGGACCAGCCATGTTCTCCATCTGACATCTCCTTTTCTTTTGTTCTTACAGGAGACCGAGGCCTTCCTGGGACCCCAGGTGAGTAACCCACAGTGATTACACACCTGGTGTGCTGGTTTGCATGTCATGGATGCTAAATTCTGGAGGAAATACAGACTTGGGGCTTCTTGTCTATCCACAGGTATTCCTGGGCCCCTGGGCCACCCTGGCCCAGAAGGACCAAAGGGACAAAAGGGCAGCATTGGTAAGAGCCCCCTTTCTATTCCTGTGTTTGTTCTTCACTCTTAAGCAGGTATTCTGGAGATCCCATTTTAGAAGACAACAGTGACCACAACAGAGAAAGATGGAGAGTTAAATAGGGAATTTGAAGAGGGAGAGGGTGTGGCCACCATAAGACCTAGGGACACATTCTGAGCAGAGGTGCAGCCAAAGCCAAGGCCCCAAAAGCAAGTTCAAAGGCCACCAGGTGGATAAGGAAGCTGGAAGCTGAAGACAAAGAAGGGGTTGTGAGGGGCAGCAAACCATGTGGGGCCTCAAGGCAAAGCCCGAGTAAAGATGGCTTTTCCTCCTGGTGAACTGAGAAACAGCTTACAGACTTGGGGCAAAGGCAGGAAAATGTCATATACTCACAGGGTCACTCTGGTCCTGCTGAGGAGGGGCTGTCTGTGAGCTATGGCATAGGACCCTAACTGTGAGGGTGGCCATTTCCATCTTCAGGAGATCCTGGCATGGAAGGACCCATAGGCCAGAGAGGACTAGAAGGCCCCATGGGACCTCGTGGTGAACCTGGGCCTCCTGGGTCTGGAGAGAAAGGAGACAGAGGTAAGAGGAGACACCTTGACCAAGAGGACTAGCTGCACCCTTCCTTCCATCAATACCTCCCTCTTTTAGGCCGCATTGGCCGAGCATTTGCAGAGGTGGACGGTGGAGAAGCTATGAACCTATAGAGACAGTAACTAATGAGGAGTGTGGCCAGGCTAAGAAACAGGCCGTGATTGGGGGGCTTAACCAGAGAAAGAGGTCTCAGGGATGTGACCTTTCCAGAGAGGGTAAGGAGCAAAGCCAGGTCAAGGTGGAGGGCAAAGAGCACCAGGGCTAGGAGCACAGCCAGGTGTGAGGTGAAGGTAAGGCTTTCTGGCCTCTGAGGCTAAGAAACAGGCCGTGATTGGGGGGCTTAACCAGAGAAAGAGGTCTCGGGGATGTGACCTTTCCAGAGAGGGTAAGAAGCAAAGCCAGGTCAAGGTGGAGGGCAAAGGGCACCAGGGCTAGGAGCACAGCCAGGTATGAGGTGAAGGTAAGGCTTTCTGGCCTCTGGGGATTGGTACTCAGCAGGGCAAAAGGCAGGAGGCCTGTGTCAGAGCCCTGGTACTTCATGGGGCTGGGGAGGTTTTGAACTCAGCTGCTTAACCATGAGACTGAGAAGGATACCAGGAATCTTCTGGTGCCAGAACACTGCAGGGAGCCTTTTAACGTCACATTCTCTTAAAAAATTAAAAAGGGTCACTCAAGCAAAGTTACTGCTCTTCCTTAGTGTACTGTCCTGGCAAGGACTCACATGGCCCTAAGAATGAGCCAGTGTTTGTCCAGTGCTTTCTAAGTGCCAGAATACTCTGGGTGGGAACTGAAGGATGAAGAGTGGCCTCACGGGGGCACCAAACGGTCCCCAGAACACTGGCAGAATGGAAAGCCTCCCTTCCAAACATGACTGCCTGGCTGGGGGATGGGACCTCAGCATCTTTCTTCTCTCTCTCCTCAGGGATTGCTGGAGAACAAGGTCCTCCGGGCCTCCCTGGTCTCCCAGGTTCTGTGGGTCCCAGAGGTACGTCAGGAAGACCAACCCAAGTTTGCAGGAAGGGGCCACGTTCAGAGGAGCAGGTCCTGGGCTCCCCAAGAGTGCGGCTTGGCAGCTAGATGGCCACAAGTGTTCTTCCACAAGGGAGTTCTGGGTGTCAAGACTGGGCTGCAATTCTGGCTTTATAGTGGGGCTTGGGACACGTTTCTGTTTCTGTTCAGTGGCCACAGTATGTGGTGTCTAGGCAACTGGATGGATTATACCAGAAACTAGAAACAGATGGTTTCCTGTCTTGACCAAGACCCAGATACACACACAAAATTCAGCAAGTGCTTATGGCCAGCTGCAACCTCTTCTCTCCACCTCTGGTCTGGCCTCAGAGTCTTAGAAAGAAGCAAAGATCTCTGGACCCTGCCAAGCTGTGGCCTGCCCTCGAGGGAGGGCATGGCACTAAGGTCACCACTGAACCCTCTGGTGTACTTCACCTGTCCTTCACACTAGGGGCAGTTGTCCCAGCCAGTCCTTTGCCTTGTGATTGTCTCTCCCCTGTTTCTCAGGTCCCAATGGCTCTGCTGGCCCACAGGGACCCCCAGGTAAATATGCTGTTTCTTGTAAAGTACCCTGCTTCTGTGGTAAAGAAAGTGATGTTAAAGGGAAAACCAAACATTTTTAAAGCCATCGAAGTGATTATAGAGAGACCCTACTGGACATACAAAATGAAAGCCCACAGTGTCACCCTGTGACTGAGCTTGGGTGTCCTGGTAGGTCTTGTCCAAATCACTTCTGGACTGGTATCAGGCCTGAGACCTCCCAGTAACTTCACCAATAGGAAACTCCCATTCTGCCTCTGCCTTGTCCATATGGGCCAAATAAGCCATCCGGCTACCCTGAGAGCTTGAGCTACAGCCAGTGTTTCTGTCAGGACATTTTCTGGTATTCTCATGCCTGAGCCTGGTGACTGGCAGAGACAAGGAACCTGGGCCAGGGTGGGCCAGCAGGAGCATGGGGCGATGAGGAGTCCGTGGGAAGAAACCCTTGACTTCTGCTTCAGGCAGGGTGTGTGTGTGCACCTATGTGCGCGTGCACAAGTATACATGTGTGTCCATCCCTTCCGAAGATGAGACACCCACCTGACCGCTCTTTTCCTCGGTGGGGCAGGTTCTATGGGTCCCCAAGGGCTCCGTGGTGACGTGGGACTCCCTGGTGTCAAAGGTAAGCTGGTGGAGGGGCGGGGGGTAAAAGGACTCTCGTTTGAGAAGGAAGTCAGGGAGTTTGGGGCTCAGAGAGAGTCTGACAGACATGACCCACAAGCTATGAAATGCAAGAGCGGGAGATGAAACCAATATGGA